ATTTTATTTAACAGCCTCAAAATTAGTTTTTCGTTTACGTTCCAACTGATGATGTGATAATCACCTGGATGTCTGCATGAAAGGTTCTGTGGAGCCCGGTTGTAATATGACATCTCTTTGTGTAATTATTTCTATTAAAGAAAAATATTACATTTATCATATAATTCCAAGAATAAGCCATTTTCAACCGTGCTCTGCAGCCCTGAACTATGAATTCTGTGCACATCACCCAGAGGTCGTCCACAAAAAAGCACAAACGTCTGATGTAATCAGCGGCGAATCTTGAACCACCCAGTTCCCAGTAGGCGGTGACTGTGCTGATGTGAGAATTGAGCAACCTGCACTGCCAGCAAGAGGGAATCACATATTCTGCTTCCTCTGTGGTCTTCCCAGGCAGCACCCTCTCCTTATTCACATGGAGTATTTCCAGTAATATGCAAACCACTTCCTGCAAGGGGGCATGCATTAGAGAGCACAACCGTGGAAAACATCCCCACATGATTCGCCAGAAAATGTCTAAAGTTTTAGTATGAAAAAGCAACTTCAACCAACTTTAACTTGTTTTTAAAGCAAAACTATAATTATAATTACATAACTGATTAAACTATTAACTTTTACATGTGAACAGCTGATGCTGATGATGCTCTCTGGCACATGAAAACTAAACGCTTTTACTCCCCATCATCACCTTCTTGCTGAGCAGATGTGCTGTTTATTTGGCAACTTTGGCTCCCAGGCTTTAGTCAGCCACTCCAGCTTGCTGCTCCACAGTGAGCTCACCAGACCATCGACTGAAAGAAACAGTCAAAACATAACATTACACAGCGTATTCCTTCAGTATAAATCACGACATAAACAAGAGAAACATCAACAATTGTGGCAGTACCACAGAGATGAACCACTAGTAAATAGCATACCCACAGCTTTCTCTTTTTCTCCTATAATATTAAATACAAAAGCAACAGCAACATCCAGAGCTGAAAGATGACGCTAATATCGAAGTTCCAAAAGATGCCGTTTTCTGAAACTGAAACCAACTTTCTTAAACCGATAGTGATGTCACAGGGTCTACCTTCGTCTTTCATGAGCAGTTTATGGGAATTAGTCAACTTACTGGTGTGCTTCATAGCAGATCCCATAACCAGGAAGGACACAGTGACGCTGATGGCTATAAACACCTGGATCAGCTCAGCCACCCATGAATAAGCCCTGTAACGTTCATTAATGATCTACAGGGAATGTCATGGGGGGTGATGGATGGCGGTGGGTGTGGAAAATGAGGACACAAGAAGAAGCTTAATACACCAAGATAACCTAAGGTGACACCTACATGACGGTTAATTTCTTACGTTTATTGCCGGTGTTATTGCAACGCTTATAGGATTATGAATTTCACCTGAATAAAGTTCAGAACTTTTATGCAATCGCTGCATTTACAAGAATGTTTTAACGTTTTTTGTTGTTTTTTAAAAAGAAAGAAAGAAATTAATTTCCTGTTGCAGATACAGGTGATCAAACATAATGCAAAAGGCTAAATGAGAACGACATCCCTCTGTAACATGTTGTATACTGAGCTCTGGTTCAGACTGATGTTTTCTTGTAGCGCTGCGTCTGCTCGCCTTTATCGGCCCATCACAGCAAATGCAGCCAACAAACCAGAGGCCTCGCAATTCTTCAGAGATGGCCTGCACATCAAAGCTTTCTAGCAGGATGTCGCAGATAGCATCCCCACTACGTGGCTGAAATTAAAGTCGAAACAAGCTGGAGAGCTCACGTTCAGAGGGAATGTTGATGCTGGAGATCATGTTTTTGACCGCAGTAATGTTTCAGGGATTTTTAGGATGTTTTGTGAGGGTCTTGCAAAATATGAGGACCTGCTCCTCTGAAACCTTTTCACGTTTCTTTCATTGATAAAGGTATAGGTCTTCACATTGGAAAAGCTTATTGGTGCTTGTTTGTACACTGAAAAGCCGTGCATGCATAAAGGTAGACTTGGACCAGAATCCTCTCCGCTCACACTTTGTCGTGTCTATTGTCACGAGCTGTGACAGTAGAAGTCTATCTGTGATGTTATTGTTGGTTGCACTATAGACCACCATAAGTTGCAGTGCCAAAATGACACGATGACACAGGTGGATGCAGAACTGAATTTAGCAGATATCCTTGTTTGGTGACACAATATCCTGCAGACTTTTGAACGTCTGTTTGTATAAAGTTTAATTTCAGTCAGGAAGCTTCATTTTTGCATTAGGTTGATAATGTGTGGATTTCTACATTACATTTTGCCTGGTGCAGCTTTATTCTCCTGAGTTATTTTCTCTCTAAAGAGATCAGGTCAGGATGGCTCCAAAGCGCGATCTGACTGCTAATTAGTTTTTGAGCTAGGCCAAGCCAAGCACTATAGCTAATTGCTGCATGTTTCCATTAGCTCCACAGGAAGCTGTTAGCAGGGTAAAATCACTGTTTCTTGTATTGTACTGAATACAAACACACTGTGATCACATCTTCCTGCAGTTGATCGCAACACAAACTATTATCTGGCCCAGCATGTGCTTCGAAGATAGGAATCTGCTACAACTCGCTGTCGTTTGCTGTCTTCAAAGGGATGCTGTTTTTTTTCAAGGTGTTGATAAAATGGTAAAGACAGGGAGTCGGTCTGCTGTAGGTGTGCTACCCAGCAACCTACGGTAAATGGCCTGTATTTGTATAGCGCTTTTACTCGTCCCTAAGGACCCCAAAGCGCTTTACACATCCAGTCATTCACCCGTTCACGCACAAATTGATGGCAAGCTACATTGTAGCCACAGCCACGCTGGGGCGCACTGACAGAGGCGAGGCTGCCGGACACTGGTGCCACCGGGCCCTCTGACCCTGGAGTAGGCAACGGGTAAAGTGTCTTGCCCAAGGACACAACAACCGAGACTGTCTAAGCCGGGGGTCGAACCAGCAACCTTCTGATTATAAGGCGAACTCCCAACTCTTGAGCCACAATCGCTCGGTGACCGAAGGGGTCACCGGGCACAAACAAGATCGCATGCAATCTTGTTTGTGATAACAGTGGATTACTGTGATCAGCAGGTGAAAATTGCATCTGCAGACACAAATGGCAACGTTGTTGCTGCAGGACAGCAATTTAACTACAAAAACAAAAGAAAAAAAGTCACTTGACAACCAGCTGAGTCAGATCCCCTATTGCAAAAGACAGATTGCAGACAAGTTGTGGTGATCAGTGCAGAGTTATTCTGAGTGATTGCAACATGTTAGCAATCTGTGTTCTGAGAGTAACTGCAGTCACTTCAAGTCAAACTGAGTTTGTTTAGAGACAGGTTGACGCTCCCCAGGGAATTTGTGCAGTTGCCTTGGTATTAAAAATGGTTGAACTGAGGTTGAGGGTGCTGCACGCTCCACCTCTGGTGAATCAGTTGGTTGTTGCAACTACCTGTAATCTGTTTCAGACAGCAGAAAAATTCAATGGAACCAATGTGCAACCCTCGATTGTAGCCAGGAGGTTCCTGTTATTTATATCTAGCCTGCATGAGCCAAAGCACTTTATCAAATGAGATATGGGGTGTGTGATCTTTCTTTCAAATAGCTTCCTACAGGTAACAATTTATGCTTATTATTATTATTATTTAATCCACGATATCTAATATTTAAAAAAATATCTAAATTTTCCAGTTGACCAATACAAGCACACAAAAAAGGGTTGGATAGTCATACCTTAGTCAGTGGAATAGTGGCAATCTCTCCTGCTTTTTCTGACCTGAGGGGAGCAGACAAACAAATACATGGAAATAAAAAACAGAAAATAAGTTTACCTCAGTGTTACAGATCTGTGAGGAGGTGAGTTGACTGCTGTTAACCGGTCTCTCAGCCACAGCTGTAAATGTGCCACCGAGCAACAAAAATCTTTATCTAATGTTTAACGCCTCCAGTGACACTTTATCAGCATTTCTTAGAAATTTTGTGAAATAACAAATAAACTACTTTTTAAGAGAAAAACCTTTAGCACACAATTCATCAGATTCCCCACAAAGAAGTAATAAAATGATTCAGTCTCAGTCAATTTCCTCTGATATATTTCATCTATGTAAACCTCACTGAACAGAGAAATTGAATCAGTGAGTAAGTCAGAAAGGGATTTGAATGTTATTAAGGGAGGATTTTCTCCCTGTTAACCCATACATACATATATATAGTCCGTGTGTCCTTTAAGGGTGAAGAAGTTTCTCTTCAAGGTTAGAGTGGCGTAAAACAAACCATAATATAATGCTAAATTAGGTTCACATCAATTGAAGCTTTTCATAACCACACCATAAATTCTAGCAGCACAGTTGCAATCCATTTCATTGTTCACTCAGAAACATTGTTGTCAACAAGCCGACCTCCACTTGCATTTCCAGGACCTTATTTTGTATGATGAGCAGGATTATCTACAGAGCAAGCGAAAGATAGAATGCACAATTCAGTTTAATTCACACGTAGGACACAAAAAACTCTGATCTGCACTTCTTTTGCACATAAAAACCATGGATATGACCTGTGGCAGTGCATTAGCTTAACAGACACTGGCCACACCCCCAGTATCATAGATAAAAAGTAAAGGCTTACGTCTGAAAAATGTGTCTTGTGCGCTGTTCACTGTTTTGAGTACAGACTGTATATAAAAGATGGAGGCATGTACCATCTGATAAAATCAGATGTCACAGAGGCGAGGTGGGGAGTTTTAACAGCCCCGCCCTTAACTGTACACTGCTCGTTTTACTTTAAATGCAACCATAATGATCAAATGTTGTATTCAGTAACACTTGTATGTATCTGTATATATGATAAGTTGCATGTCTTCATTTGACCGATTTCCTTTGATGTTTGTCTTTTGGGGAAACAACATTTAACACACTTGAAGCAGAGCATATGGTTTTGTACTGACATACCTGCGCTGTCTTATGCTACATTAATCTTTCTGACCCTTTACGTTTTTAATAGTAATTATCATTTATAAATGGCTCCCCTCTACATTAATTAATCTTCATTAGGAGTCAGTGAAATAGAGCCTGGCTCTCTCAGGTTTGCTGGGAGCTGGCCAACTCCCGGCCGGCAGAGGGATCTCCTGGGGAGAAACAAGAATACTACAGCAGGGGGAAAATATTGTCCTAAATATTAAATTAGCCACAAATGGTAGTAAAGCATATGGCAGGTCAGGGCTAAACCTATGAATCAGTGTTTCCATTTTAAACTCTAATTTCAGCCATTTGTCTGCTGCTGCTGTAATGTGCTGTAGGTTTCATTAGTTACTCTGTTGTTTTTCTTTGCAGCCAAACTAACAGAACTAAATGTTGTGCTGTGAAAAGAGGTTAGAGAAAGTTAAAGACTCGAGAATATGACAACAACAGTCGGTGTGCACACGTGAAAACTTGGAGTTGCATCATAATTGCATAACAGTGAAATATAACATACCACCATAATGAAGAGAACAACCTTCAACTCAACTGAAACAAAACTAGGGAGCTGAATGAAACAATGAGACAAAGGTACGCCACATTGTTTACGTCACTGAAGCTGACGTACAGCAGCGTCTCCACCCTTAGAAGCAAATGCTTATCAATGAGACTGAAGAACTCAAAAAGTCTTATTAATCACTAAAGAGAAGAAATAGAAAGTTTTCTAACTGGAAGCTTCACACGATATGGGATGTGCACAGCCCAATATCAGAAAGCCCTGCTGTCGGGGGGATTGGAACCATCAGGGTTCCTGCCACATTTGTAAATTCAATCAATGACTCTAAAGACCTTTTAAAAACCTCAGTCTATTAAAAGAAACCTAGAACCAAATAAGACTGAAATCACAAGTTGGGATTTTATGAAGAAAACACATAAACCTACATAAACCTCTGTTTTTTGTGGCAGACATGACAGTAAAGTCTTTGGATTTTGGACTGCTATGTAAAACAAGGAATCTTGGAGATAAAGTTAGGGAGGGCAGGCTGAGATGGCTGTAAGGAACGATAGTGGATATACTGAACAAAGAATATTGAATATGGAGCTGCCATGTAACGGAGGTTCAAGGATGTAGTGAAGGAGGACATGCTCACACTTGCTGTGATAGAGGAGGATGCTAGGGATAAGGAGACACAGAGGCAGATGATCCACAGCATGGCAGTGCTTAAGGATGCAGCTGAAAAAAACTTGACAAAACAGTCACTGTTGTATGAGAAAGCTTAACCATGATTTGATGTTCTCTGGTTGATTGGGCCAAAACATCTTTCACTTCATGCTGAAAATAAACTTCCAGTTGTGTCTCTCTCATTCATATTTTTCCTTTGATGCAGGCAAACATCAGCAGCTGAATGCTGGAGTACTGAATGTTTCGGCGATGTTAAATGTTGAGGTTCTCCAGCCCTAAAAATCTTAGAACCATAGTGTCTAACCAGATTATTACCGTGTTACTGGCTTCCAGAAACATTGTGACATCCTATCTCAGAATGATGCTGATGCTGATGGAACTAGTTCAACTAGTTCAAGCATTTACTACTTCCAGGCTGGACTATTGTTATTCATTATTATCAGGTTGTTTTAAAAACATAAAAAGCCTTCAGTTGATCCAATATGCTGCAGTGAGACTGACAGGGACCAAAATAAGAGCATATTTGTCACTATATTGGCTCCCAAATAAATCCACAATTGAATATAAAATCCTTTTCCTCACAGACGAAGTCTTGAATAATTAGAACCTTAGCTTAAAGACCATATACTACCATATCACTCAAACAGTACACTCTTTTCTCTGACTGCAGGCTTACTTGTTGTTCCTAGGATATTTAAAGAGTAGAATGGGAGGCAGAGTCTTCAGTTGTCATGCGCCTCTCCTGTGGAACCAGCTCCCAGTACGGATTTGCAAGACAAACTATTTATCTTTAAGACTGGGCTTAAAACTTTCCTCTTTGATAAAGCATATAGTTAGTCCTGGATTGGGTGACCCTGAATCGCTGCAATAGGCTTAGACTGCTGGGGCCTTCCGATGATGCACCGAGTGTCGTCTTAAATCACCCCTTTTACATTTTCACATGTGTTTAAACAGCACTGTGCATTTAATCATTAATTTCTGGGTGTCTTCCACAGTGTGTCTTATGTCTTGTCTCTCTCCCTTTACCCCCAACCAGTCGCAGATGGCGGCCCCTTCATGAGTCTGGTTCCACTGGAGGTTTCTTCCTGTTAAAAGGGAGTTTTTCCTTCCCACTGTCACCATGTGCTTGCTCATAGCAGGTCATGTCATAGTTGGAGTTTTCTATATTTATTCTGTATGATTGTTTTTGTCAACATTAAGTGCCTTGAGATGACTGTTGTGATTTGGTTCTATATAAATAAAATTGAAGTGAATTTATCACTTCTGTCGTGTCCTGTTGCTTAGGTAGAATTCTCACTTAAAGCATTTTTTAAAAAATGGAAAGAAGTGATTCAGCTGTGTCACTAAAGGAGGCGGCTTTGTGGCCACTTAACAAGTACAGTGTGAATGATCAGGCAACACTGGGGACTGACTGCTGCTCAAGTGTAGCATACACAGAAACAGAGCTTCTTAACAGCTACGGGAAGCTGCTGCTAGAGTGTCCTTTTCTTTACTGAAAACACAGGAGTTTTGGAGCTTTGACAGTCACTAGAAACACATTTATGGCCCTTTGGCAGACTTCCAGTGTGTGTTACTGTGCTGTAGTGAAGCCGGCTGCTTTATTACAAGAGGCTCTCTCACTGTGTGTCTGTGGAGGATTGTCAGTACAAGCTGGTTAATGTGGGATGCTTCCCCCCCTCTTAATTATCCGGAGAAGAAACACTACTTAAACATGTTAAAAATAAATTATGATTAATCGCACTGTGCACCCAGTGGCCAGTTCATTATTTTATTGCAGATTGTTTTTAAACTATGATTTATCTTTGTGTTCATTAGTTTACCTCCTATGTGAGGGGCAGAGGGCAGCAGTGTGTGTGTGTGTGTGTGTGTGTGTAGGTCTTTAAGCTTTGGTAAGCAGGTGACTCGTGGCTGCTCTATAATTGGTTGCTTCAGATTTCCCACAGCAGCTCTCTGTGCCCCAGACGCTCCCGTCTTTATTGGTAGTGCATCGGTATGTTTGCTGTTTTTTGACCTCGTGGGATTGAACTGCTGCCCCTCTTCCAAACATACAATTAACAGCGAACTGACCGGTACTGCTGCAGACTGACAGTTCAGGGATACCCTCACTTTTCAGAACAGGAGCCCGAGTATCTGTTTCACATCTCTCCCTGTTTGCTGTACTGTGATGTGTGTGACAATTGAGGGGTTGCAAGACTTAAAAGAAAAAGAAAATGGCTACAGCCATGTAGAAAAACTGCTGTGAGGCTAAACAACTATCTGAAGGCTAAAAAGCAATGAAGAGGTAAAAAAGCAAAAAACAAATCCCAAACCTCCAAAAACAAAATATATACATTTTGTTCAGAAAAACTTTAAAATATGGCTTTGCAAGAGAATTTTTCCCGTATATTGAAAGTCAACAGTGACACCACCGCTTACAGGAACTCTGAAAACTAAGCAGAATTAGTTCCTTGACTGTATGTTCTGAGAAAACAAAAAGGATCTACAAGGATATTTTTTTAAATTAATGCAGGCAGATGAAATGATCATACTGCCAAAACAGAGCCGAGCGTCACCCATGACAAAAATAGTGTGCTGGGATGATTATCAGTTTGCACCAGTCTGCTGCAACCAGTCCCTGTCATATAAATGAAAAGGAACCAT